TCGGCGGAGGCCCGAGGCGAGGCTCTCATGGCCCAAGGTCTGCTGCAGCACAGCCCGTGGAAAGTCAAAGAGCACTGTGCGCTGGAGGCCCAAGTCCCTGGAGGGGTCATGATCTTGTGTTGTTCCTCGTGTTGGCACCATGCGATTCGTCGAGACCAGGGAGGCCTCAGGGGCCATGTAAAGGCCCCCGCAAGCTCGCGGGTGGGGCATCCTACACGTCCCGCCCGAGGCTGCTGAGAGGTGAGCATCCCCCTCGGCCTGGTGAGTTGCGTGGCGATGCTCTCTCCCCGCCTTCGGCCACCCGAGCGAGCTGGTCCAGCCACCGTGGAATGGCGTCTGATGAGGGAGCCGAAGCTCGTGCGACCGCTGGTCGAGCAGGAGGCACCCGCGAGGGCGGAGCTGTCGTCGGTGCTCCGGGCCTTCGGCCTGGGCCCTCGCGGCGAGGCAGAGGGAGCGGGCAGGCGCGGGCCGGAATGGGCGTGCCGCCGCGGCTCCTCCCAGAGGTCCACGGGAGAGCCGAGGCCCAGAGGGCGCATGATTCCTTCTGGGGGGGGGTAGCCTACTCCCCCTCCCCCTCCCCCTCCTCCTCCTCCTCCTCCTCCTCCTCCTCCTCCTCCTCCTCCTCCTCCTCCTCCTCCACCTCCTCCTCCCCCTCCCCCCCCCTCCTCCTCCTCCTCCCTCCTCCTCCTCCCCTCCTCCTCTCCTCTCCTCCTCCTCCACCTCCACCTCCTCCTCCTCCTCCTCCTCCTCCTCCTCCTCCTCCTTTCGCCTCCTCCTCCTCAGTGGGCACGAGATGGCGCCCCTCGTGAGGGGAACCAAGCGTTCCCCTCGGATGGATGCCCGTATGCCGTTGTCCGTCTCTGCCCTCTGACCCTCTTGTTCCCACCCCGGGCAGCGAACCTCCATCCTTGTCCCTATGAGTAACTCCGCCCTGTCGCACCCCGAGGTGTGTCAGTAGGGCTGGTCGGGCGTTTCGCCTGAGACGTCCTCCCCATCTGCGACCCTTACGCTGAAAAGTTGCAAGGGAGTCGCAAATTGAGGGCGGGTCGTTTTCAAAATGTGGCCCGACTTAAATTGGATGGAGGGCGGGTCATTTTCAAAATGCGGCCCTCGCCTTAGCGCCGCGCGCATTCGAATTAAAAAATTGAAAGCGCTTCTCGGATGGAGGGCGCCTCCTTTTCAACATATGGCTCTCGCCTTAGCGCCACGCACATTCGTTTTGAGAACTCACAACAGTCTCAACATGTCACATGGCAAACGTCCCGGAGGAGGTTTTGTGGCACGATGTCTGGCAATCAGGGCGCAACAGCTACGTTGATTCGCCGTGTTGAACTCCCAGGGATGGTTTCTGTCACGATTCAGGGTTGTCAAAACGCCACAGTAAGGGTGATTCGCGGCGTTGAAGTCCCGGGAAGGGTGTTCTGGCACAGCTCGGGATGTGCAAGCCGTTGTCTTCCAACGAGACACTCTCCTCAGTGAAAATGGAACCTTGCAGTAACATATGAAGAGGGAGCTTGGAGGGAGGGTTCATTGCAATATCGTTGATGAGTTTGGGGGTTACACTGGTCCTCCTTTTCCTCAGCCTCTTCCCCCATTCCCACCCTTCCCCACTCCTAATCCCACTCCTCAACTTCCTGTTTTTTCTCCGTGTTCCCCTCCTCCTCCGCCTCCTCCTCCTCCTCATCATCATCATCCTCATCATCACCATCATCATCATCACCATCATCATCACCATCACCACAATAATCAGCCTCCTCCTCCTCCTCCTCCGCCTCCTCCTCCTCCTCCTCCTCCGTCTCCTCCTCCGCCTCCGGGCGGGCGGGACATTAGATGCAATCTCCTATCTGTGATGGGACAAGCTTGGGGGCGAAATATACCACAATTACCGAAGACGGCGGTCGGGCAGGCGGAACATTGAATGAAACCTGCATTCAGCGACGGGGCGTCATCATCATCACCACCATCACCACCATCACCATCATCATCATCAGCATCATCATCATCATCATCATCATCATCATCATCATCATCATCATCATCATCATCATCATCATCATCATCATCATCAGAATCGTCATCATCATCATAATCAGCATCATCATCACCATCATCATCATAATCATCATCATCATCATCATCATCATCATCATCATCATCATCATCATGATCATCATCATCACAATGATCATCATCATCATCATCATCATCATCATCATCATCATCATCATCATCATGATCAGCATCATCACCATCGCCCTCCTCATCGTCATCATCAGCATAAATATCATCATGATCGTCGCCATGATCGTCATCACCGTGATCATCATTATCATCATCACCACTATCATCATCATCATCATCATCATCATCATCATCATCATCATCATCAGCATCATCATCATCATCATCATCATCATCATCATCATCATTATCATCTTCATCATCCTCTGGGGCGGCCAAGCACCTGTGCGAGAAGGGCGACGTCATGCGCCACCATTCGAAATGCGCCCCACCTGCCTCACTTGCCCCACTTGCCGCGCCCGCCCGTGCGTGCTTCAGCTTTGTTTGAGCTTTCTCGGAGCTTCGTTGGAGCTTGATTTGGGCTATGTTGGACCTTGGATTGTCACTTGTTTGAGCTTTGTTTGAGCGTTGTTTGGGCATTGTTTGAACATTACTGAGATTTGTCCCCCCCTCCACAATCCCGCCAGGGTTCGGAGGGTGGAAACATTCCCCCCCGGGTTGGGAGAGGGGAAGCATCTGACCCCCCCCCTCAGTTCGAATCTGGGGGGGTGGCTTGGCAGTAGCAATAGCGCTCTTTCCAACCCCTTGATCCCACCTCATGCCTCGAAGGCGCATCGCCTCCGCCGGCATCCGCTGGCCTTCTTCCGTCCTTCCGAGGAGGAACAGAGGCCAACCTCTTCACCTCACGAAGGCGTCCGTCGCCTCCGGCCTCGCCGAACTTCGCCCGCCGCTCGCCGTCATCGGCGACGCCCGCCTCGCGCCACGGGGCGGGGAAGGACAAGGGCAAAGCCAAGACGCATCAACGATGTTGCAGTAAACCCTCCCTCCAAGTGCCCTCTTGAAAGGTCCCTACAATATGTGTTCCTTTGCGGGAAGTGCCCCATTGAAAGACCGCCGTCTGAGAAGCCTCCATCGTGCCAAAACCACATTCCAATCTTAAACCGTGCCAAAACACAATCCATGGAACTTCAACACCGCGAAACAACGTGACGGTCGTGCCCTGACTATCCTGCATCGTGCCAACACCATTCCTGGGACTTCATCCTTACGAACCCTTGAAGCTGCTGCATACGCTGGAAACGCATGCGCGCGGCGCTGAGGCGAGAGCCACATTTGAAAACCGCGCGCCCTTCATCCTTGAGACTGCTGCAAACTTGTAGGACGAATGCGCGCAGCGCTGCGCGAGAGCCATATGTTGAAAAGGCCTCGCCATACATCCTTAAAGCTGTTGCAAGCGTTTAAGACAGATGTCACGGCGCTGAGGAGAGAGCCACATGTTAAGAAATCACACACACACACTCCACCTTTGAAACTGTTGCAAGTTTCTAAGACGAGTGTGCGCGGCGTTCAGGGGAGAGCCACATGTTGGAAACCACACGCCCTCCATCCTTGAAACTGTGGAAAGCGTTTACGACGAAGGTGCGCGGCGCTAAAGCACGAGTCACATGTTGAAAACCAATCGCCATCCGTCCTTGAATATGTTGCGAACTGTCAGACGAATGTGCGCGGCGCTAAGTCGATAGCCACATATTGAAAAAGAATCGCCGCTCATCATTAAAACTGCTGCGATATTCAAGTTCCAGAATCAGAAATTGTGAGAAAGTCCCTGGCTAAACGCCCGGCCCACCCTACCAACACGTCTGCGGGTGCGACATAGAAGAGTTGTGTGCAAGGAAAAAAAGGACGAGGAGGGGGAAGAGGAAGAGACAATGCGGGAATGGCAACGTGAGAGATAACACAACGTATGTCCTTTCCCAATACCGCGTGCACGCTGTAAGCCAGAATGGCAGCGGCGCGCGCGCGGGCTCCTAGTCGAGTGAAAAGCAGGAGGAGACAGAGGGAGAAGGAGGACGAGGAAGTAGAGGAGATGGGGGAGGACCTCGAGGATCGAGGATTTAGGCACATCCTGGGCTCGTCTTCGGGCATCCGTGGGTGCCCTGGCGGCCAAAGCCTGGGTGCCCTACAAGATCCTGACCAAAGCGCATCCCTGGAAGGGGCACAGGGTCCGACCGAAGGACCCCGACCCCCAACGTCTTCAAAAAAAAGTTTCAAGAAGAAGCTGGGACGAGCACACAATCGGGTGAGGATAGATCGAGAATCTTTCAGATCTGGCGGCTCTGGAAGATGTCTCGGGGGTCGCGGTCTTCTCAAAGCGGTCCAGAACGCGCTGAGAGCGTTTCAGAATGCCCTGGAACGACGAACTCATCCTCGTCCTTGCCGCGTCCGAAGGACCCCGACACCAAACACCTTGGAAAAACAAATGCCTCGTGTTTCGGTGTCTGACGGGGGTCTTCATGCTCCAAAAGACATCGCCAAAGAATCTGGCATGAGAAAACGATACCCCAGGAAGTCGTCGACAGGTCCGTGGACCCCGGATTGAACAAATCCAAACATCGGACACAGACATCTGGCGCCCCGATCTTTTAGATGCGCGGGCCCCCAAAACTCTCGACCCTTCCCCGTGGACTTTTTCATAGCGAGCCTTCGTTCGACGGCCACGCGTCCCCGCGGCCCGAAGCCAGCCCCCAGCACGCCCCCCCAAAAAACACGCCAACCACTCCGACTGTTTGTCGAGGGCATGCCTCGGAAAACTTCTGGAGACCTCTGGAGACCTTCGCGAAGCACCGAGGCGCCCCGGGCCCCCAGGAACCCCAAGAAGCCTCCAAAGGGGCCGACGGGGGGCCCTCCCAAAGGGGGCAGGGAACCGGTTCCCACAGCGATTGGGCAAAGGAGGAGGGGACCCCCCCGGACTTAACCGGTCACCTGTTCTTATTGCAACGTACACACGACTCTGCCATTGGAATTACAATGTATTGCAACTTATTGCCACTTACACCTAGTATACTTGCAACTTATTGCCATACTGCTTCCTATCGCAACGTATTACGACTTTCCATCTCAAAACTGACTTCGTACCATCCAAACCAAGCCGGCATCCCACCTTCATCCTGTGCCAAAAACACCTATGCGCGCGCACTCGCTCATCAACTAATCATCCGTTTTCAAGACTCCCTGGCAAAAAAAAAAAAAAAAAAAAAAAAAAACGTAACAACATGCACACGCGCGCGTCGTCGCGCGCGCAAGCCGGAATCCCTCAAAGACCTCAGGTTTCGCAGGCATTCCAAAACCGAATGTCCAGGAAACATATAAAACACATGGTTACGCAACACGAGTGTTCAAACAAAAACTTGTGTTCGCGTTCTTGCGAATTCTTACGAAAACTTCAATGTTCTAACATTTTCATAAGATGCCACCAAGCGGGCCTTTCCGCGCGCGAATGTCGAAGTCATTCGGATGCCGTGCGCGCGTGCTGTCGCAAGAGTCCCGCGCAAAAACAGGACGAATTGCGCACGCGCGTATCGTCGCGAGCGCATACCGATATCTTTCAAGAACCACAGCTTTCGTCAGAATGTCGAAATCGCGCTCCGCAAACATTATATTTTTTCCAAACGATTTTCAAATGAGAGGACAAAACGCACATGGCTTCCAAACAGCAACTTTACCCACCCCACCCCCCCCCCCCACACACACACACACACACACACACACACACACACACACACACACACACACACACACACACAAAAAAAAAAAAAACGAACATCCAGAAACAAAACAAACAAACACACAACAACAACAAAAAACGCTCGCGGTCTTGCGAATCCTCCAGGAAACCATAGATGTTTCAACATGTGCTTTAGCTTCGGCCAGACGGGCACCTCGCGCTGCATGTCGAAGTCATCCGAACGCCCTTGCTCGCGTGTTGGGAGGGAGCACGGCCTGGGTCAAAAAAAACATGCGGGCCACTTTTGCGCGTCGGCCGCGCACGCATGTCGAACTCCTTCCACGACCTTCATCAACCACGCGAGGAAGCCGTCATCGTCGTCGGAGTGATCAACATCGGCGCCGTCACTGGCCGCGCCGTCGTCGTTGTCATCATGGTCACCAGCGTCGCTACTATCATCATCGTGTTTACCGTCGTCGACGTTGCCATGATACCGCGCCCGACAAAGTCGCCGACTCGCACCGAAGTGCCCGCTGGGAAGTGCCCAGAGGTCACCGCCACCTCGGCCGCGTCGGTCGCGCCAAACTGGCTGGCCGCTGCGCGCGCAAGCATGCGCGGGCAAGCGCGGCCGCAGAGATGCGCCAGCCAACAACAAGCACTTAGCGCAATCGCCGCCGCATGGGTTTTGCAAGCCAAGTTGCGAGTGGGTGGGTGGGATGATTGCGCGAGCAGTGGAGTTGACAACTCACTGCGAGTATTCGTGGATTCGCCTTTCTACAAGTTTTCATATCTTGGCGGCGCAATTGTTCAACTTCCACGGCCTTCCGCCGCCCTTCCGCCGGCATCCGCCGGCCTCCGCAGGCGGGGGCGGCCTCGTTTTACTTCCGCCGACCTTCCGCCGCCTTCCGCCGCCCTTCCGCCACCCTTTCCGCCGGCCTCCGCCGGCGGAGGCGGCCTCGCTTTCCTTCCGCCGACCTTCCGCCGCCTCCCGCAACGGAAGAGATGACAGCTCCTCAAGCCCTTTTGCGGAACGCCCGACGTGTGCATCTCATTGCACTGACGACCTGGCGGCTGGTCTCTGCCCAGGAGGTGTCTGTGTGCAGGAGCGACCGCGAGCGAACCACGGGCACGACGGCGACGACGGCGACGATCAGGGCGAGGGCAAGGATTATACACGAAGGAAAATGAAACGGGAGAAAAACCCAAAACGGATTTTTGTTGGGGCTATGGGGCTGTAGGGCTATAGAGCTGCAAGGTCATGAGGCTATAGGGCTATTGGGCTATTGGGCTGTAAGGCTATAGGGCTATAAGGCTGTAGAGCTATAGGGCTATAGGGCTATAAGGCTATGGGGCTATCGGGCTATAGGGCTATAGGACTATTGGGCTATAAGGCTATAGGGCTATAGGGCTATAGGGTTATGGGGCTATAAAACTATAGGGCTATTGGGCTATAGGGCTATTGGGCTATTGGGCTATATGCTATTGGGCCATTGGGCACCCGGGCACCCCGGGCACCCGGGCACCCGGGCACCCGGGCCCAGCCACCGAAATCGGCGACCAACCTCACCGGCCACCCGGGCACCCGGGCACCGCCGGGCACCCACCCGGGCACCCGGGCACCGGGGCCCGGCCACCGAAATCGGCCGCACCTCTCACCTAATCCTTTAATACGCTAGGACCCCTACAGAGGCAAGCTCTGAGTGGGGAAAAAACAGCATCAACATAAGGTTTTGGAGTTCTGCACGGATTTCTTGTATCGGCGCTGGGCCCTCGGCGGTACCTCGCCGATAGATGGGAGATACGCCCCCGATGGCGAATGCGCGCGGTCCTGGGCGAGGAGGGTTATCGGGCCCCTGACGGCGGTGCATGGGCGATTGGGGGTCGATGCGTCCCCCCATGAGCCTATCCCCCCCTAACGTTGCCCTTGATTCACCCCCTCCCTCCAGCTCCCCAGACGGCCAGCACCCCAAACAACATCAAGGCAGCCGGTCTGTCCCCGTTTTGGGCGTCTGAGGAAGCCATATTTCGGGCACAGGAGGTTGAGGAGGAGGAGGAGGAGGAGGCGGAGGAGGCGGAGGAGGAGGAGGAGGAGGAGGAGGCGGAGGCGGAGGAGGAGGAGGAGGAGGAGGCGGAGGAGGAGGAGGAGGAGGAGGAGGACCACTGCAAACCCAAGACTCGTCAGCGATATTGGACTACACCGCGACCGTCCACAAAAAGACTCGGAACAACAGATAACCCTGCCACGGGCAAGCCGTCGAGAGAACCAGGGCCCGCTCCCCAAAGAATCGGAGCGCTGAGACGTGTGTATTCCCGAGTGGGGAGCGTGTGGGGTTGAACGTTTGGGGGGCCTTGGTGGGCCTGCCAGGGCGCTCTCGTCGCCGCGCGTGGGCCCGCCTCGAAGTGCAAAAACCAGAAGGCACCCCCGGAGACGTCCGAGGGGTCAACATCTGACCCCCGAGACCCAGCTTCCTGGGAGGGAACGGAGGAGACGGATGAGGAGGATGAGGGGGAGGAGGAGGAGGAGGAGGAGGAGGAGGAGGAGGAGGAGGAGGAGGAGGAAGAGGAGGAGGAGGAGGAGGAGGCCGAGCGTCCCCAAGAGAGCTCCACCCACAATCACCGACGATCCCCCGCACAGTGCGGGAGGTCAACTGCGAGACGCGCAGCGCGGGCAAAACCCGCCGCCTCGGAGTCCGAGGGCGCCCATCCGCCTAATCATCTCCGTTTGTCGTGGAGGAGGCGATCAAGGTGATGAAGGATCACGGCAAACCGAAGCCGAGGAAGGGAGCAGATGATGGCAACGACGCGCCAGCAGCCAGGGCCGACCTGGAAAAGAATCCAGGGCACCTCGCACCGTGAGCGAGTCTGGGGCGTGGAAAAACACTACGCAGGAGAAGGAAGAGGAGGAGAGGAGACATCCATCTCTTCTTCCTCCTCCTCCTCCTCCTCCTCCTCCTCCTCCTCCTCCTTCTCCTCCTTCTCTTCCTCCTCACGATCCTCCTCCCCCTCCTCCTCTTCCTCCTCACGCTCCTCCTCCCCCTCCTCCTCCTCCTCCTCCTCCTTGTTGTTGTTGTGGCTTTGCGGGCGGCTATGCCCCGCGCGAGCAGGTTTTGGACACTTCGGCCTTGTGGAGCAGGACCTCCCCTGAGTGAAGTCCCTAGGGGAAGCCTCCCTCCGAGCCTTGCGTGAAGACGGCAAGTCAGACTCGGAGGCATCCGATTCCGGCTGAGCGCATCGACTGCTTGGCTTGAGGCCCATCCAAAACAACTTCCGCCTTCTTTTCCCCATTACCATCGTCATCACCAATGCTATCCTTCTCCTCCTCCTCCTCCTCCTCCTCCTCCTCCTCCTACTCCGTCTCCTTCTCCTTCTCCTTCTCCTTCTCCTTCTCCTTCTCCTTCTCCGTCCCTCCTCCTCCTCCTCCTCCTCCTCCTCCTCCTCATCATCATCATCATCATCACCATCATAATCAGTATCATCATAGTCATCAGAATCATCATCAGCAGCAGCAGCATCATCACCACCGCCAGCAATGTCATCACCATAATCATCAGCATCATCATCAGCTGCATCGTCACCATCATCATAATCAGAATCGTCATCATCACCACCATCGTCTTCATCACCAGCAGCGTCATCGTCATCGTCATCATCATAATAATCAGCATCATCATCCTCATCATCATGATCATCATCATCATGTTCATCATCATCATCATCATCATCATCATCATCATCATCATCATCATCATCATCATCATCATCATCATCATCATCATCATCATCATCATCATCATCATCATCGTCAGCATCATCCTCGTCTTCGGCAGCAGCAGCAGCATCCGCAGCAGCATGATCACCAGCGTCGTCATCATCATCATCGTTGTCAGCATCATCATCAGCGGCAGCATCCTTAATATAATGAGTCCTTACTGTCAGCAGCGAAAGACAGCTCAATCACCATCACCGTCATCATTACCACCATCATCATAACAACTGACAGCACTGCCATCAGCAACAGCAGCATTGGCATCACCATCGTTATCGCCATAACCGTCCTGATCATAACCACCACTACCATCATCATCATCATCATCATCAGCATCATCATCAGCATCATCAGCATAATCATCATAGTCATAATCATCATTGACCTCTTCATCATTACCACCACAGAAACTACTGCCATCATCATCAGCAGCATCATCATCTTCATCATCATCACCATCAGCGTCGTCATCGTCATCATCATCATCGTCATCAGCACCACCACTACCACTGCCATATTCATCATCATTATCATCATCATCATCATCATCATAATCATCATCATCATCGTCATCGTTATCATCATCATCGTCATCGTAGTCATCATCATCAGCATCATCATCGTCGTCGTCGTTATCATCACCATCGTCATCTTCGTCATCATCGTCATCATCATGATCATCCTCACCATCGTCATCGTCGTCAATGCCACGATCGCCATCGTCACCATCACCGCCATCATCACCATCACCATCATCCACCACCCCGTCCGGAGACGCCTCCTGTGGCCCAGCCCCGGGCGGCGCGGCCGCAGGCCCCGAGGACGCGCTGCTCGTCCTGGCGCGCAGGGGCGGGCTCTCGCCCTCGCCGCCCGCCCGCTCGCGCGCCAGCAGAGCCCCAAGACATCTTCGGCGGCAACTCATGGGCAGGGGCAGGTTCCACGATGGAACGCGCAAGAACTTGTTGTCTACCCATCGCAGCGGAGCCCAGCGGCGAGATGAGGGAACGGCAGACGAAGACGACGATGACGACGACGGCGGCGCCGACGACGAGGGAGAGGAGAGAAAGGAGGGGCGACTGTCTTTTTCACAGCACGAACGGCCGACATGATGCTTCCAACCTCGAGCACTGCATATCACCGCAGCCATGCTGCGCCGCAGCGTGAGACAGAAGAGCGGATGGATGGCGTTAGATCTCTCGACGCCACGCGCTGTCTCAAACAGAAAGCCAAGGTACTGGGCCGCTGGGAGGACACAACGAGGCGAGGAGACCACAAAGGTGCACGAGGCCGCAAGGCACGCGACGTCCAAAACAGTAACAGCGCCCGCGGGGAAGGAGCAGGGCGAAAAGGCGAAGCAGGACGAGAGCTCGTGGGTGCTGAGGCCTGCAAGCCGCGCCGCGCGCACCAGGTCCCACACGAGCCAAGCAGAGGGAAAGGGCAAGCGGGGGGAGGGGAGGAGGCCAAAAGAGACGAAACACAGCTAAAGCACAGGGAACGGAAGGAAAAAGGACGGGCGAGGCGGCCCCGCGCCCGCGCCCACGCGGCCCCGCGCCGGCTCGGTCCAGCGGGCCAGGGCGCGCAGCCAGCCGCTCCCAGACACACTGGTACTGCGGTTAGGGCATTAAAGAAAGAACCCGTGAACGAGGAATCCCACTGGCTTCAGCGCCAGACGGCGCTGGGGGGAGCCCAGCGCCGATGCAAGAAATCCGCGCGGACCTCCAGAAGTTATGCGCATTCCCTTGTTCCTCTCATACCGAAAGGTATCGTGCTTGGCGCTGCAGGGCAACCGCGCCACTCGAGAAGCACGTCCTGCACGGCTGCGGGCTGACGCGTCGCTGGGCCCCCTTGGCGGCGGTCAGGGTCTGAGAGCTGGCGGAACACGCACTGAGGCTTGACCATGGATATCACAGCCGCCCTCATGAGCTAAGGGATCCAGCAGGTAGGGGGCCACATGCGAACCCTACCCCTACCCCTCACGATTTCTGAGGGGAAGGGTGGGGTTCGCTTCGTTCGGGAGCTCCCGAGCGAAGTGAACCCCACCCTCGCCCTCAGAGATCGTGGGGGGTAGGGGTAGGGTTCGCATGTGGCCCCCTAATCCCGGGTCTGCAGCACCATGGGCACGCTCCTCGACAACAACGCGCCCCCACCGCACGCGCCCTCCCGTCGGAGGCCTGCGCCCCGGCCCGAACAGATGACAACCGTCTTGTAGAGCACATCCCTTCTCCCCGGCGGTGCGGCCAGGAAGCGCCCGCCACGAAGCAGATGCATATGCTCTCTTCCTTCCCCTCCTCCTCCCCCTCGTCACCCTCCTCCTCCTCCTCCTCCTCCTCCTCCTCTCCTCCTCCTCCGCCTTCACCTCCCCCTGTCACCTCTCATCCTCCTCCTCTTCATCCTCCTCCTCCCTCTTCTCCTCCTCCTCCTCCTCCTCCTCCTCCTCCTCCTCCTCCTCCTCCTCCTCCTCCTCCTCCTCCTCGCAAGGGGAGGGGGCGACAAACACAAGGTGTTAGTATGCTGGGCTGGGGTGACGCCAGCACGAGGCGGCGAGCCCCGGCCGCGACCAGGCTCCAGGACCTAGGCCTGAGGAATGGCACTCGGAGCCCCATCCTGAGCTCAAAGCGGTCCTCATCTCGGCGCCTTCACTGCAGAACTTCGCCCTGCCAGGACGCCAGGGTACCCTTGGAACAAGGCTAGTCCTTGTGATGCGGCTTGCTTGCGGGGAGGGCAGGAGCAGTCTTGCTTGCAGGAAGGGCAGGGGCAGTCAGCAGCGAACCCAGAAGTCGGATCCGATCGGAACGCGTATCGAATCGGACCGCATCGGTACGGAGTCGGAATCGAATCGGACCGGCGGCGCCCGGATGCACGACAGCGCCATGCAAGAATCGGGCTGTATCGGAACGCCCGAAAATCGGAATCGAATCTAATCAGGCTGGCCAGAGCCGACATCGAATCGGATTGATCGGATCGAAACGAGAGCCTCCCATGTGATCTTGCTGGCTCCTGGGATGCGACGCTATTCGACGCTAATAGGCGCTAATCAACGCCACAACGGCGCTTCCCCATCGATTACCAGAACCTAACGCACGGTGGTGCACCCTGAAGACGGACTCGCGAATACATACAAGTCTCCCATGAGATGCTTCCGAACCCGCCCGCAGGAGGACCCCAAAGAGATCTAGCGTCTTGAACAAATGCCTAAAAGGAAGTGTTTCGCCCACTTCGGCCTCAGGTGCGTCAGAAAACGACCCGGGATGAACCTTGAGGGATACCCACGAGCCCGGCAAGGAATTGAAGTCAAACCACATTCTGACATGCATCCTATACGATTCTGCGCAAAAGGTCGAAACTTTTTCATATGAAATGCTACGCTGCGTGCTGTAGCGTGGTCCTTGTCCTTCCCCTTCCCTGGGCCTCCTTGAGCATCCTGGGGTGTCCTCCTCCTCCTTCTCCTTTTTCTCCTCCTCCTCTTCCTCTTCCTCTTCCTCCTTCCTCCTCCTCCTCCTCTCTCCTCTCTCCTCTCTCCTCTCTCCTCTCTACTCTCTCCTCTCTCCTCTCTCCTCTCTCCTCTACCTCACTCCTCCTCTCCTCCTCCCCCTCCCCCCTCCTCCTGCTCCTCCTCCTCCTCCTCCTCCTCCTCTTCCTCCTCCTCTTACTCCTTCCTCATTATCCTCGTCCTCCTCCTCGTCCTCCTCCTCCTCCACTCCTCCACACGTTGGATACCCCCTTGGCGCCTGCACACGTGAAAAACCTATGCAAGATTTATATGTTCCAGACGCGTCTTCCACACCCCCTCTGTGCACACCTGTTTGCTTCTACGCCACGTTTAGCCGCTTGGCGCCAAAAATACGTGAAACACAGATGCCAAGTGCATACGCCAGACGCATCTCGGATATCTCCCCTTTCCGCACACGTACTTACACGCGTGAAAAATCCGACACCCACATGTCGGATGCCCCTCTTGTGGCCCCGCGCCGAAACAAAAAACGTGAAACACACACACACACAAGCCGAATGCACATGCGCCAAACACATGTTGGACCCGCCCTCTCCGCACACGTATCTTTACACGTGAAGTAGCCGACGCCCACATGTTGGATGCTCCTCTTGTGGCCCCCTTGGCGCCGAGAACACGTGAAAACACTGTCCGAATGCGCATGCGCAACGACAAACGCAACCACGACGACGACGACGACGACGACGACGACGACGACGACGACGACGACGACGACACGACGAGGACGACGACGACGACGACGACGACGACGACGACGACGACGACGACGACGACGACAAAGACGACGACGACGACGACGACGGCAGCGACGACGACGACGACGACGGCGGCGGCGGCGGTGACGACGACGACGACGCCGACGCCGACGCCGACGCCGACGCGGACGCGGACGCCGACGCCGACGACGACGACGATGACGATGACGACGACGACGACGACGACGGCGGCGACGACGACGACGACGGCGGCGGCATTGACGACGACGACGACGACGACGACGACGACGACGACGACGACGATCGCCCGCGGCGAAGCCTGCTGACCTCCAGATCCTGCAGCCGGGCCGCCACGGCCGCGGGATCGGCGCCGGCGCCGGCCCCGGGGCTCCTGCCACGCTACCGCGAGCGTCCTCGTCGTCGTCGCGAGCGCCCTCGTCGTCGTCGTCGGCCTCGTCGCCGTCGACGTCTTCGCCGTGGTGGTCGCCAGCGCCGTCGCCGATCTTCCGTCGACGAAGCCGCCGCCATCGCCACGGTCGCCCTCGTCGTCGCCGCTGCCGTCGTCGGCGAAGCCGCGCCCTCCTCCTTGTCCTCCTCATCCTCCACCTCTCCCTCCTCCTCCTCCTCCTCCTCCTCCTCCTCCTCCTCCTCCTCGACGTCGTCCACGTCGCCGTCGCCCTCGTTGCGGTCGGCGTCGACGCCGTCGCGGCCGCCGCCGCCGTGGAGGGCTCCTGGGTCGTGGGCTGTGAGGCCCTCTCGGGACCCCCGGCGCCAGGAGCCTGGGCCCCCGCCACCCGCGCGCAGCTACGTCGTCGGCGCCGTCCTCCTCGCCTTCGTCGCGGTCGTCGCCGCCGTCGTCGTCGTCGCCGCCGCCGTCATCCGCGTCCTCCTCGTGTTCGTCGTCGCCGGCGGGGGCGTCCTCCTCGCCTTCGTCGTCGTCCTCCCTGTCCTCCTCGTCTTCGTCGGCGTCGCCATCGTCGTCGACGTCGTCGTCGTCATCGTTGTCGACGTCGTCGTCGTCGGCGGCGTCGGCGTCGGCGTCGGCGTCGTCGCCTTCCTGCCGACGCCTCAGGCGCCCCGCGGAGAAGCGGGCACAAGGGCACTCCTCCGGAGACCAATCTTGGCATTCGGGAGCTTCCCGGAGGCCGCGAAGACGAGGCTTTCTCAAAGCACACTCCGAGCTTCGCCAGACGGTGGAGCCGACGACCACGCAAGAAGCCAGCCGCCACTGGAGCGCCACCGCAACTCGCGGGCACGGCGGGGGGGCTGCGCAGGCCGAAGCGAAGGCCCCCCGCACGGCCGGCCCGCAGAGCGGCGCTCCTCAGAGGCCTCCGGAGAGGCCTCGGAAGAGGCCTGGGCCGGTTTCCATCCGCTGCGCCCCGTCGAGAGCATCCCAGGGGGGCGGGGGGGGGCCGAGGCCCAAGCCGTGCCCCGAAGGCAAGGAGGGGCCCTCCTGCGGCCCTGGCCAGGATGCCCGTGGAGAGGGCACAGAGAACAGGCTTACGCACACCCCGCCCGCCCCCGGAGTCCCACGGGGCCCCCACACCTTGACCACCTGGCCGCTCGGCTGGCCTCGCCCTCGACACGGCGACTCTGCCGAGCGCCTCCCTCTTCCTGGCCCTGGTCACCGAAGCTGGGATGAGGGTACGGCAGGGTCGAGACGAATCGATGGTGATGGCGGTAGTACTCATAGGGAGAACTACGATGATGCAAACGTATGGCGGAAACCAGAATGACAGTGCACCAGCCGCACGTCTGAGAAAGGAACTGCGGGTCAGTCTGCAGTGCTTCCGCGTTCGGTCACTCCCGCCCCCTCCACCTGATCTGCCTCTTCCTCCACCTCCTCCTCCAAGCTCGTCCTTCTCCTGATCCTGAGACCATATCCACCTCCCCATCCTCCTTCATCTCCTCCGAATCTCTCTTGATCTCTCCTCTGGCTTCTCCTCCTTCTCTCCAGCAATATGCTGCTGCTCCTCCGCCCACCCCCTTCCTCATTTGCTCCCTTCGCTCCGCCTCCACATCCTCCTGCCCTATCCTGCCCATTCGCCTCATACCCCGTCCTACGAAAAAGAGAACGACAACTGCGACGACGACGACGCCAAAGATGACGGCCAAGGCGGCCGAAACGGCGAAGACGGCGACGAAACAAAGACAACGACCACGACGACAACCATGACGATGACGAAGACGACAGGGATGACAGAGAGAACGGAGAACATAAAGGATACAAAGATAACGAGGACGACAGAGACGACAAGGACACATGGACGGCAGAGACGACAGAGACGGCGGAGACGACAAAGACGACAGCTGCAACGAGGAAAGACGAGATGACGGCAACGACGCCGAACACGCCGAAAAACGACGACGACGACGACGACGAAGACGACGACGACGGACGACGACGGACGACGACGGCGAGAACGACGACGACGACGACGACGACGACGACGACGGCGACGCCGAGAACATCGACGACGACGAAGACGGCGGAACGCGACGGGCCCCCTGGCGCGCGCGGCTCCGCGGCGGGACCGCCGGGGCCGCCGCCGCGGCGGCGCCCTCCTGTGGCGGCGGCGGCGACGACGACGGCGACGACAGCGGCGACGGCGAGGACGACGACAACACGTCGACGGCGGCGGCGGTGCCGGCGACGACGGCGGCGGCGGCGTCAAGGACGACGACTTTGGCGACGACAACGACGACGGATCGACGAAGACGAAAACGAGTATGTACGACGACGACGACGACGACGACGACGACGACGACGACGAGGACGACGACGACGACGACGACGACCACGACCACGATGGCGGCGGCGTCGGGGGCGGCGGCGGCGGCGGAGGCGCCGGCGGCGGCGGCGGCGGCGGCGGCGGCGGCGGCGACGACGACGACGACGACGACGACGACGACGACGACGACGTTGCGACGACTGGGGTTCGTGGGATGTGAAAATGCTTCTGGGCGGTTCTGGAGGGTTCTTACAGGTTCGTGGGGCGCTCTGGCAGAAACCTGGGGACTTACAGGAGGCGCCAGCGACTACGACAAGGGTTCTGAGGACTTCTGGGGGGCTTCTCGAGGGTTTCCCTTACCTACCCCATCGCGACTCAACTACTGAAGTCCCGCGTCAATGCTCCAGGCGGGTGTCCAGGAAGCCCCACAGAAGCGATAGCGACGGAAGGGAAATAGACGCGACGACTCCGAGATCAAGCTGCGCCTAAAGATTTCCCCTCGAGATGCCCCGCGTGGGGCTTCTCGGGGGTTCTGGGAGGATTCTCGGGCGATCTGAAGGGTTGTGGCGGGATCTGGGGAGTCCTCCAAGAGGAAGACGCGGCGGGCCGACGACGGCCACGGCGAGGAAGGCGACGGCGAGGGGATGGGGGGGAGAGGAAGGTGGAGGGGCAGCGGGGGGGGAAGAAGGAGGGGGAGGAGGGGGGGGAGCGAGAGAAGGAAGGAGAGAGAACGAAGAGGGGGACGGGGGAAGAGGGAGGAGGAGGAGAAGGAGGAGGAGGCGGCAGATGGCTTCTCCACCGCCCTCTCACTCCCGATCTTCCTCCTCACCATCCTCGTGGTCCCCCTTTTCCTCGAGTTCCTTTCCATTTTTCCCAACCATCCTGTGGTGTTGGGTCCTCGTTTTGAAGAGACGGTGCCCCGCGTTCCTCTTCTCCTCCTCCTCCCCCTCCTCCCTCTTCCCATCATCATCATCATCATCATCATCATCATCATCATCATCATCATCATCATCATCATCATCATCATCATCATCATCATCATCATCACCACCATCATCATCATCATCATCATCATCATCATCATCATCATCATCATCATCATCACCACCGATTTCGGCACACCCCTCACACGTTTCGTGGCCCCATAGGGAGCTCCACCGAAGGCCCCAGTGGCAGGGTCCGCATGCCTGCCCACCACCCATTTCGGCACACCCCTCACACGTTTCGTGGCCCCATAGGGAGCTCCACCGAAGGCCCCAGTGGCAGGGTCCGCATGCCTCCCCACCACCCATTTCGGCACACCCCTCACACGTTTCGTGGCCCCATAGGGAGCCTCACCGAAGGCCCCAGTGGCAGGGTCCGCATGCCTCCCAACCACCCATTTCGGCACACCCCTCACACGTTTCGTGGCCCCATAGGGAGCTCCACCGAAGGCCCAGTGGCAGGGTCCGCATCCTCTCCCCCACACCATTTTCGGCACACCCATCACACGCTTCGTTGGCCATTGGGAGCTCCACCGAAGGCCCCAGTGGCAGGGTCCGCATGCCTCCCCACCACCCAATTTGGGCACACCCCTCACACGTTTCGTGGCCCCATAGGGAGCTCACGAAGGCCACAGTGGCCTGCGTCGCACGGCCTCCCCAACACCCATTTCGCACACCCCTCACACGTTTCAGTGACCCCAAGGGAGCTCCACCGAAGGCCCCAGTGGCAAGGTTCGCATGCCTCCCCACCACCCATCTCGGCACACCCCTCACACGTTTCGTGGCCCCATAGGGAGCTCCACCGAAGGCCCCAGTGGCAAGGTTCGCATGCCTCCCCACCACCCATCTCGGCACACCCCTCACACGTTTCGTGGCCCCATAGGGAGCTCCACCGAAGGTCCCAGTGGGTGTGCCCGCATGCGTCCCGCACACCCATGTCGGCACACCCCTCACAGGTTTCGTGGCCCCATAGGGAGCTCCACCGAAGGTCCCAGTGGGTGTGCCCGCATGCGTCCCGCACACCCATTTCGGCACACCCCTCACACGTTTCGTGGCCCCATAGGGAGCTCCACCGAAGGCCCCAGTGGCAGGGTCCGCATGCCTCCCCACCACCCATTTCGGCACACCCCTCACACGTTTCGTGGCCCCATAGGGAGCTCCACCGAAGGCCCCAGTGGCCTGGTTCGTACGCCTCCCCAACACCCATTTCGGCACATCCCTCACACGCTTCGTGGCCCCATGGGGATGTCCACTGAAGGCCCCAGTGACTGGGTTCGCATGCGCCCCCACACCCATTTCGGCGCAGCCCTCACACGCTTCGTGGCACCATAGGGAGCTGCACCGAAGGCCCCAGTGGCTGCGTTCGCATGCCGCCCCCACACCAATTTCGGCACACCCCTCACACGTTTCGTGGCCCACAGGGAGCTCCACCGAAGGCCCCAGTGGCTGCGTTCGCATGCCGCCTCCACACCAACTTCGGTGCACCCCTCACACGTTTCGTGGCCCCATAAAGAGCTCCACCGAAGGCCCCAGTGGCAACGTTCGCATGCCGCCCCCACACCCATTTCGGCACACCCCTCAAACGGTTCGTGGACCCCATAGGGAGATCCACCGAACACGGTACTCACACCAGCATTACTCACAACTGCATATGGTTGGGTCCTTCGCCAGGCAAATTTCCTTTTTTCTCTCACCTCCTCCGCCCACGTCCTCCTCCGCTGCCTCTTCCTCCCGTTCCTTCCCGTCCTCATCCACTTCAGTTATATACCCATCCCCCTCCTACTCCTCCCTCTCGTCCTTCTCGTTTCCCTTACACTCATCCTTTCCTGCAAATGATAGAGGAGGAGGAGCAGCAGCAGCAGCAGGAGAAAATTACCCTGCGACGTACCCAACCCACGTGCATCAAATGGCAAGAGGAGTATGCCAACATTAGCAGGGACAACGACAGCGTAGACGCGGCGATTTGCTGTGCAAGCTACATGGGATGCGCATGCGTTGCACGATTCACAGGACGACGATCGAAAGAACGAGGCTTGAGGCCCCAGGATCGAAGAAGAACGGGCACGGGAACGAGGGGTGGGAGAGGGATGGGATGGAGGGCGGGGGGGGGGGCGAAAGGCCATCGCGGAAGCAGCAGCATGCATGGAGAAGGTGAGGCGGGGAATAGGACGACGATGAAAGTGGCGGGAGGAGACAGAAGACTGCCGCGTTTTCCAAGTGCGAGCTAAACCCGCAGCGCTGCCTGCGCCATGTCGTCGCAGAATTCCACATGATAAAACTTGTTTACAATGCAAGGAACGAGCGAGGCGTAGCTCGCCCGCTAGCTTCTCCGCCTCCTTCCCGCACATTTCAGCGCGGGAGCTGAACGCTCGCAGGCGCGCCGCCAGGTCTGCGGGCGGCCCGCGGGAAAGAAACTCAAGGCCGGGGTCGCGTATCATAAATCGGTTGTCCATCGTCCAAAGTTGCACTGGCGACGTACTGGTTGAACGCGGAGCGAGCAGCATCACGCGCGTGCCTGAACGCCACGCAGGTACAGTGCACGCGCGATGGGGACTTCAGGTCGATCACGCGCGTCTCCACCAGGCTTGGCAACACCACGCGACTGAGGATCTCACTGCGGTCTGCCATGCTGCTGTCCGCGAATGCAATGCGCTGCCTGCAAGTAAGGCGGCGGCGTCCACTTGTCTCAGAAGATGTTCCCGCGGGCCCGAAAGGGCGACCGCCAGCTCGAGCCGCGGCGCCGGCAGGCCAGATAAGGATCATGCAACAGCAAAGACGATGACAGAGCAACGAGGTATCGGCGAGTGCATGACCGGCCTCCGTTTCCTGCACTTCTTTCCTGTAGTTCCCTTAGCTCATCGAGCTCAGCAGATGTTTCTGCGGGTCCGAAGGACGACCGCCAGCTCGAGTCGCAGCGCCGCGTGGCACGAACCGCAGAGTAAGGGCACGCGAGCATTGCTCGTGGTCAGAATCTGAGTCCCCGTGGTGCCTCACTCCGCTGGCCACCCACCAGCAGCCCTCGAAAGTGGCGACAGTTTCACAGATCGCAGCCGCCCAGGGTTGGCGAGGTCTAATCTGAGTCCCCGTGGTGCCTCACTC